TCCTTATACGAGGCACAACAACTGGCGCTGCGGAGGCTAATCAGACCTGTGTAAAGGAAGAAAACAGAACAAGAGCGAGAGGAAAGCAACGCAATGTCGACATCGGAAGAACTCAAGACCCTCACGGCGGCCATTAACTCTCTTCTCCAGTTTCAGCTACGAAACGAAACGGAGAGACAGAATCCGGCATCGAGGAATCCGACGACATCGCACTCCGATCTCTACAATCAGCTCAGTGCTCGCGTGGAAAAATATGCATACGGGCTTGGCGATGAAACAAAGCCGTTCACAAAATGACTGCAACGCCACGAATACACCGTCGTCACAGAGGCAGCGTCACTACCGCCGGAAATGCAGACTTGACTCATTTTAGATAAGCTCGGACAAACAGAGTTCGACAGGTTAGTGAATCACGTCGCGCCTCAAAACCCGACGACAATGCCGCAAAACGAAGTCATCGAGACACTGAGAAATCTCTTTCGCGATAAAGTGCCGATCACGCGCCGCCGCATAGAGATCTTAAACTATCGATACGTAAAGTCCGTTCCCATCACAGAACATATCGGCCGCATTAACCGTCATGCATCAGACTTTGATCGCGCTAAGCTCACGGATGACAATCTCAGAGTTCTTTTGCTGTTAAAATCTTTCTGCTACTCAAGCGAAAATGACGAGCTTAAAAAAATAACTTTACGTGTAGTCGAGAAGAATCCAAACGCTTCACTCAAGGACATCGTCGCGGAACTCGAAGCTCACATGAACGTATCGACTAGCCTAAAAATGCTCGAAAACCCGGTAGCAAGTTCATCTACGGCAGCTATCAACGCGGTCCATGCCAAACAGAAAAGCAAGACTCAGTCAAACCGCCAGTCAACGAATAAGAAAACAGATGTGAAGTACAACGGTTGTGGAGGCGCCCATCAACGATCGAAATGCTCATTCCGCGACGCGTTGTGCCACAAGTGCTCTCGGAAGGGCCACATCGCTAAAGTGTGCCGGTCCGAATCAAAGAACACGAATACCGCCGCGAAAAGTGAAACTGCCGCGAAAAGTGAAGTTGCCGTAAAAAACGCAAGCCTTGTAACGCAGTCAATTACCGCGGTCGGTAAGCGTCGTCGAAAATACGCTACGGCATTGGTGCTCGGTAAAATCGTACATCTGCAGTACGACTCAGGATCGAACATCATGGTTATCGGCAAAGACAAATGGGAGCGACTCGGGTCCCCGAAACTCGTCGCGAGTGAAATCGTTGAACACGCGGACGGAAGTGAATTCGAAATGATCGGTAAATTTACGGAGAAGACTCAAGTCTTCGATCGCGAGGCAAAACTGGACATTCACGTAGCTGACCGCGCTGGTATAAATCTGTTCGGATTAAACGCCCTTGACAAACTCGATTTATGGTCTATCCCGCAAAGCTCCCGTTCAAAGCTCGGGAGCTTTGCAACCTATCGTCGCTCAACAGACCGCGTTTTCAACAAACATAAGTCTTATCTCGGAACCGTCCGATTCGGGCGGAGGCAATCGGTCCGCCGCGACGCCTCTCAACGCCTATCAAAACGAACTGTATAAAAGTTTTCCTAACCTTTTTTCCAACAAACTAGGAAAATGCACCAGGTCAAGTTCCAGCTCACGGAGAACGCACGACCCGTACAGGCCCAGTGCAGACAAATTCCATATGCCATGAAAGAGCCTCTCGAAAGAGAGCTTCAACGGCTAATCAAACTAGGAATAATCGAACGTGTGGAATCTTCAAAATGAGCAACACCCATCGTCATTGTTATTAAGGAAATTGATTTCGAAAAGAAAAAAGTTTCAAAAAAGATATCTGGATAATCTGCCGGAACTAAATTCTGCTCTGTATAGATATATTTATATATTGAACTTTTATTATAACTCAGAGCTTGTCCAACTTAATACAGCTTGAATATCTTTCTGATAATAAAATTTATGACTTGTTATATAAGAGAGAGAGAAGACTCGATACAAAACAAAAACTTATATAGATAGGAAACTTAGATGGTGGCGCTGGTAGTGCATTAAGGCGCCTACAATACACTGGTTGATTGGAGCGACATCAGACTGTTTTCAACAATTGTAAGAAAGCCCAATGGTGAAATACGCTTATGCGCAGACTACTCCACGGGTGTGAATTGTCTTTTGGTCGACAACCGGCACCCGCTGCCCAACGTAGAAAGCGCTACAGCCAAACTTAACGGAAATGCCTTCTTCAGCGTACTTGATCTCAGTGATGCGTTTTTCCAGCTGGAGATCGCCGAGGATCATCGGGAAATCACAACAATCATCACTCCGTTTGGTCTTTTTAAATACACTCGAGTACCCTTCGGGTTGAAGAGCTCCCGCTGAATTCCAGGAAGCCATGGACAGCACACTAGCAGGATTGGATGGAGTGGACGCATACCTTAACGACGTCATCGTCAGAGGTTCCAATCGGCGGGAACACGACTTACGTCTTCGGAAAACCCTCCAACGTCTCGAAGATAGAGGCTGGAAACTTAGACTCGACAAATGCAACTTCGCGCTAGAAGAAATCAAATTTCTCGGGCTAATCATAAACGCTCAAGGCATATCGGCCGACCCAGAAGCCACCCGTGCAATAGCAAATATGCCCAAACCTACAAACGTCGCAGAAGCTAAAAGCTTACTCGGTATGGTGAACCACTATGGGAAATTCATTCCCCACCTACACCAAATCAAGCATCCATTGGAAGATCTCACCCGGAAGAATCGACCCTGGATCTGGAATCAACAACACAATCAAACAATAGAGCAAATCAAAAAGATTATGCTTAGCCCACTTCTTTTAGAGCATTTTGACCCATCAAAAACCCTCGTCGTTGCGGCTGACGCCTGCTCTACGGGAATAGGAGGTGTCTTACTACAACGAGATTCGTGCGGACACGAACGAGCTGTGTACCACATGTCCCAGAGTCTCTCGGACACACAGCGAGGCTATTCTCAAATAGAAAAGGAGGCCCTAGCTCTTGTCACTGCAGTCGAACGCTTTCACAAGTTCCTGTGGGGACGGAGGTTCATTCTACTCACGGACCACAAACCTCTAGTCGCGCTTTTGCAGACGGAGAACACAA